ATGCCAATTTACCATTTCAACTTTGTTGATATATCCAAATTATTTCTATGGGATTGCTGTGGGTGATAAGCTTAGAGACAGCCTACTTCTCAAAATTTGTAGGATGCGGGTGTGAGGAGAATTGCTGTCGGAATCGGAAGTGGAATAGACATCTCGGAGCTCAGGCAAATTGCTAGCTCCCATGATGATGTACTTCAGGTGTATGGCTACCAGCAGTTAATTCCTAAACTAGAGTTCATTATGACTATGGCTTGTGGAGGTCAGCATCCAGGTAGGTTGAAATTAATATACATCGACTCAAAAACCAAAACAGGGATAGAAACTGTAACACTGAATACCAATTTGGCTCTCTGTGATACTTCTGCTACTACTACTACTACTACAACTATGCAGTCTGTCAATTCAACAATGACTGTTTCATGAAGATTTCAGGCTTTAATCAGGTTCCTACACGTTGTTCTGTCCTTTGCTAGCTGCTTCCAGGTACCTTCTGCAATGTTCTTCCGAGTCAGGTTTCTTTTCACGATGTCCTTGAATCGTAGCCTAGGCCCTCCTTTTGTGGTAACTACCAAAAAAAACTTTCTGAGAAAAAACTGCAATTTATGTGTGTTCACTTACTTTAAGCACCATCGATAATAATTAATACAAGGCTTTTGGAATGAATAAATAGTATGGATATAATCGTAAATAATTGTTATGTCATAGTTTCATGCATGATGTATATATACTGAATAGGACACACGCGTTGATTTTTTTTCAATACGCATTTCAGTCATTCATTTTATAACCCTTGTTCATTTCACTGTGTCTTAATTGTAATTAGGTGATTGTGGTAGCTGGGGATCTTTTGGAAGCTGCAGTAAGACATGTGGTGGCGGAGCGCAGGTTCGCACAAGAAGTTGTCCGCCTAACAGTCTACATTTAAGAAAACAAAGGAAGCATTGCAACACAAACCTTTGCCCAGGAAAAGGTAAATGGTCATAATCAGTTTTATCGATCATTATCGTTTTTGCCTCTGTCTAACGAGGATTGTTTTCTTGCGCGATCATCGGATAGATAACAACTATAGACCGAAGTGGGGGTGGCTATTGCTGTATATTTATCGAGGTGCGTAGCGGCGATATAAATATCTATTGTTAGCAACCAACACTGAGGTGAATAGTTGTTTAGTACATACTAAAACAGAGGGATAACATCACACACCAGAAGATGATTTCAACACATCCACTCTTGTAAGATTACAATATTCATTAAGTTCAGATCTGAAGGCGTTGCTCGGAGGTGAAGAGTACTGAGATATTCGGAGTTTCCATGGCTAATCTTAGCGCGCTTTCGACACTATCCACCGTTTAAGTATACATACTAGTAAAAATATGGGATTTTCCTCGCAAGCAACTTTGTAGTAACGTAAAAGTTATGCGTAAAATAGGCCCTATACTCGATAGAACACAGTTCCAAAGTTCTTGCAAAAATTGTTGTAACATTTATTCCTCTGAGGTCTGTAAACTCGGTCAGGGTGTCAACATTTGCCAGCTTCTTTGCAACGACTTGGCTGTAGTGTTGTGATTTTAACGGTAATAGTACTAATAGCAGTAGGTATAGTTCTAGTGACGATGCTCTATTGATTCATCACTCTTCAGAGCCCTGTGTAGACAAAGAGGGCGATTGTGCTGTTAGAGCTGCTGCAGGAGGATGCTGGAAGAACAATACTGTACCTTACACACCGTACAAAACGATCTACGTTGGCAGGAAGTTTCATATGTGGGAAACTTGTCCAAAGAGCTGCAGGCGATGCAACGGTATGGGTAAAAACGCAGATATGGCCATCTTTAGTCCTCAATCATCTTCAATTTTTTTTTTTGTAGTCTTCTTCTTCTCACTATTATTACTATTAGGTTCATTCTTCAAAGTCGTCCCTTTCTTCGTCTTCTTTTCACCTGCGAAGATCCTTTTTTCCCCTTGACATTTTATATGTGTTTAACTTCCCTTCTTCTCCTTCGTCTTCTTTTTCTTCTTCGCTTTCTCCCTATTTTTCTTATTTTCACTCTTGAAGTTCTTCCTTTCTTCGTCTCGTTTTACGAATTTCCTTCCTTAATACTCCATACGCATTCTACTTCCCTTTAGTCGATACCTCTTGTCAAGATGACGATCCCTATATTTGTCCTTGGTGGTCAGTAGCTGTAAAAAATTGGAAGAAATGCGGCTATTCGTGGAAACAAGGCTTTCCTACGTACACCCTAACAGGTGAGCACGGTGAAGTCGTTAATACAGTAAATGCTCCCGGAAGACGTACATCTTCAGGAGGCTGAGAAATTTCCGACTGCTTGAGGTCAGGACATTTATTTTGATAGAGAAATATAAATATTATAAGGGAGTTCTCTCAAGAAGTTGATTACAATAATGGAGGTAAGTAAAAATCAAACAACTACAGCCCTTTAGAGAGGTTATCTCAGTCTTGCACCCACTGAAGAGAGCTTAGTTGCGTTTTGCTTGTTTAGCTGTCTTTTGAGCCTTGAGCAAAATCTATATCAATAATATGCAGTCTGGAAGGCCAATCAAATAATTTAGTCTAACTGAAAATACTCAATGTCGAAATTCATGACGAGGCAAGTAATCGTCATAGGAGATACAGCACAAGGGCCCTCTTGACCGTATGCATCATATTAGGTAAGCAACTAGGGCTGTTTATGCAGATAAAACTTCGGGACCCGTAAGCCGTAAGCCCAAAGACAAATTCGTTCCTGTTTCCGAATGTGTGGCTTCGGAGTATTTTCGAATGGCTAACGAATTTCGTCCTTAACCAGGGTTTTCATTTAAATGGTTAACTAACCACCATTACGTACATAATTTTAGAGTAATTTTCAACGTAGTTTTGAAATTAATCCGGCTTTGGTTTGTTTTTGCTTTACTTCGCTTTGTGATTGGTCCACTAAACTCGCCCCGCTTTCTCCATATACAACGATAAAATCAATTGCGACGTTGCCACTCGGGTTTCCCGCACTTGAAGTGGTTGAGTGTTTTTTACGTTTAGTTCTTTTTACTTTTTGGCTGCTCTTGATATTTCCACTTCATCTGGTGGCCGGTTTTTTTTAAATTTTTTTTTTTTTGACGCAGGTTATCGAAAAGCACTTTCTCGCAAATGTAAAAACAATAACATACACATGAATGCGTGCAGTGAAGAAAATATCTGTCCAAATCTTTAACAAGATATTAGGTGCTCACCAGCAGCCTGAACTACCGATATGATAATAATGACTTTTATTAAAAACTGGATCATTGGATAATGCAATTCAAGACTTTTTATTGGCTTAGCCATTATAGTACATGAGCCAATATACTATAATGTAATATCTGTACACTGTAACATCCGGTTTCTTCTTACAAAATAAAGTCAAGAAGATTTATCTAATATCTTGGGGGTGTTTTTTTTAATAAAACAATTATACCACTCGCCCTTGTTGGATATGAGATGGTTATAGCCAACTCGGCGCTACGCGCGTCGTTGGCTATCTATCATCTCATATCCAACAAGCGCGAGTGGAATAATTGTTTAATAACGAGTTCACAATCTAGCGAACCCAACTTGAAATTTGAGTCATTAATGACACATTATTCTCTTTATCTACGTGAACTCCTTAAAACAGTTCACCAGTAATTTTAACAGACAAATGGCAAGATGCAATCGGGTGCGTTTTCTATCGTTTTTCAAGTGTGATTTCCCACTCGGGATGCAAGGTCTCTAAATCTGAGCCGAAGGCGAGAAGTCGAAGCAGTAAAGTCGAAACGGCAACAAAAGAGACGCGTGCAAATGTTGAAGTCGTATTAGTTTTGTTTCAGCTGCTTTTTTTTCCTTTTCTCAAATTCCTGTTACTCGAGGATTGGGAATGAAACTGACTAATACTATCGAGTGTTACTTCACTCCAAGTTACTGTTTGACTAGGCCTCAAGTAAAGATTAAATTCCTAAAGATTAACCTCTTTAATGTTTTTGAAAATTTTTTGAAAGGAAATTTGTCGTGTTAAAGTAAAACAAAAATAAAAAGTAACAACTTCCTGAGAACCCGATGGCGAAAGAATAGTTCCTAATCAGGTGTTTAGGACCATTGCTTCTCTCTGTCTCATATTCTAGAGCAATACCTTTTGAAGTAAAGTGTATGTTATCACTATAATTCCATTTCTCTTCATCCTTTAGACTTGTGCAAGAAAAGTTGTGGCAAATGCAGTGGTGGGGGAGGAGGAGGAGAAGAAGAAGGTAACCTTGTCACATCAGTCTATCGTTCAACAGCATACCAGAATCCGCTCCATACTGTTGCTTTAGGAACTCGTAAAACGATTTTTTTTCTGTTCCTATCAGTTCCAGTGAAGCTCTAATAGATATGCATTATTAACGAAGCGTGAGGTCAAGATGGCTTTTTTTGCATATTTATGAAAGAGACGAAGTCGAGGTTCATGACCGAACAACCTTGGTTAATAAAGGATCTATTATATTGCAAAAAAATTTCGCTTGAGAATGACTTGTTTCCTTCGAGAGCCGGGAAAGAAAGCCAACTGTGTTTGTAGCACAACAAACCCACGACAGTCGTTTCTGCTTCCTTTGTTTTGACTATAGTAGTATCCCTATACTAAGCCTGTATGGCATAAACCACGCGGTCTGGGTCCAAGTAGTTCGGCCGAGTGGTTAATTTATTCATATTAGGGTTAGGGTTATGGGGGTTAGGGTTAGGGTTATTAGAGCTAGGGTTATTAGGGCTAGGGTTATTAGGGCTAGAGTTATTAGGGTTAGGGTTGTTAGGGTTAGGGTTATTAGGGTTAGGATTGTTAGGGTTAGGGTTATTAGGGTTAGGATTATGAGGGTTAGGGTTATTAGGGTTAAGGTTGTTAAGGGTTAGGGTTGATTAGGGTTAGGGTTGTTAGGGGTAGGGTTTTGCTAGGGTTAGGGTTAGTAGGGTTAGGCTTGTTGGGATTAGGGTTGTTAGGGTTAGGGTTTGTTAGGGTTAGGGTTGTTAGGGTTAGGGTTTGTTAGGGTTAGGGTTATTTAGGGTTTGGGTTGTTAGGGTTAGGGTTGTTAGGGCTAGGGTTTGTTAGGGTTAGGGTGGTTAGGGTAGTTAGGGTTAGGGTTTCTTGGGGTTAGGGTTTTTAGGGTTAGGGTTTGTTAGGTTTAGGGTTGTTAGGGTTAGGGTTTTTTTTAGGGTTAGTGTTGTTAGGGTTAGAGTTTTTTAGGGTTAGGGTTTTTAGGGTTAGGGTTTGTTAAGTTTAGGGTTTGGGTTTGTTAGGGTTAGGGTTGTTTAGGGTTAGGGTTATTGTTAGGGTTAGGGTTGTTAGGGTTAGGGTTGTTAGGATTAGGGTTGTTTAGGGTGAGGGTTAGGGTTGTTAGGGCTAGGGTTGTTAGGGTTAGGGTTGTTTAGGGTTAGGGTTGTTAGGGTTAGGGTTGTTAGGGTTAGGGTTGTTAGGGTTAGGGTTGTTAGAGTTAGGGTTTGTTAGGGTTAGGGTTGTTAGGGTTAGGGTTTGTTAGGGTTAGGGTTGTTAGGGTTAGGGTTGTTAGGGTTAGGGTTTGTTAGGGTTAGGATTATGAGGGTTAGGTTTCTTAGGGTTAGGGTTGTTTATGGTTAGGGTTGATTAGGGTTAGGGTTGTTAGGGTTAGGGTTTGTTAGGGTTAGGGTTGTTAGTGTTAGGGTTGTTAGGGTTAGGGTTGTTAGGGTTAGGGTTGTTAGGGTTAAGGTTTGTTAGCGTTAGGTTTTTTAGGGTTAGGGTTGTTAGGGTTAGGGTTGTTAGGGTTAAGGTTTTTTTGGGTTAGGGTGCTTAGTGTTAGGGTTTGTTAGAGTTAGGGTTGTTAGGGGTTGGGTTTGTTAGGGTTAGGGTTGTTAGGGTTAGGGTTTTTTAGGGTTAGGGCTATTAGGATTAGGGTTTGTTAGGGTTAGGGTTATTAGGGTTTGGGTTGTTAGGGTTAGGGTTGGTTAGCGTTAGGGCTTTTAGGGCTGGGGTTTGTTTGGGTTAGGGTAGTTAGTTTTAGGGTTTGTTTGGGTTAGGGTAGTTAGGGCTAGGGTTTGTTTGGGTTAGGGTAGTTAGTGTTAGGGTTTGTTTGGGTTAGGGTAGTTAGGGTTAGGTTTTATTAGGGTTAGGGTTGTTAGTGTTTAGGTTTGTTAGGGTTAGGGTTGTTAGGGTTAGTGTTATTAGGGCTAGGGTTTTTAGGGTTAGTGTTTGTTTTGGTTAGGGTTGTTAGAGTTAGGATCTTTAGTGTTAGGGTTGTTGGGGTTGGGGTCTTTAGGGTTAGGGTTCTTAGAGTTAGGGTGTTTTAGGGTTAGGGTTTTTATGGTTAGGGTTGTTAGGGTTAGGGTTTTTTAGGGTTAGGGTTGTTAGGGTTATGGTTTGTTAGGGTTAGGGTTGTTAGGGTTAGTGTTTTTAGGGTTGGGGTTTTAGTGTCAGGGTTTTTTAGGTTAGGGTTAGCGTTAGGATCTTTAAAACTTCTCGGTTTTGTGAAATTAATGGGAACAAAAGAATCCAAGAGTGCGGAGGGATTAACTCTAAGATTTGCATATCGTTTAGTTTTTGAGAGCGCGGTATTTGAGTGTTAAATAGGTAACATAAGCTAGAAAAGCTGTCATCATGTGTATGTAGAATTGATGGAAAGTAGAATGTTCTCCCACGTTTGAATTATAGGTTTGAGTTTCGTCAATGTATTGAACAGGTACACTTGTTTGTATTTTGTTTAAAAATTGAGTGTCGTTTAAAACGCAAGTTTGGTAAACAAGAATAGACACGCACTTATTTTCAATTTCTTCGCTCTAAAGTTGACAACGTGTTGTGTGACAAGTAACCTATGCGCCGTGTGAATAAATAAACCATATGGAAATGTTTAAGTTAATCCCTCCGCCATCTTGGATTCTTTTGTTCCCATTGTTTTAAGAAAACCGTTAATATATATCTTATTAACAAGATCAACAAGGCATCAGATCACATGACGCATTTGGTGGTTATACTGATTGGTCTGAATAGGGGCCGGGGAACGTAGCATGACCTGTGAGGGGAGGAGTTTAGGCACAAAAACAGACATGTACCAATCCCCCGCCATCTAGTGCTAGGCCAAGATGTGTTGAGCAAAAACTGGGACCCGCACAGGATCATAAGAGTTGATATGGGATGCGGTAGAGTCAAGGTTATCCCTTCGAGTGATAATTTTCCTAAGCCTTTGTATTCAATATATCGAGAGGCTTTCCTAGAAGCAGGTTCGTTATTCTCAACGTTTTGGTTCTCTTATTTGCAATCATACAGAATGTCAGGATTCTGACGCCTCTTACTGTTGGTCTAAGGTCAGGTGGCCAGGCTGCCGCAATTATTTTGTGAGAGGTAAGCAGCGGGATTATTATTGCGTCATCCACATTATTATTGACTGATTGCTTAGTGGAGTGAGTTTATGAGTAGCCTAGCCATGCGTTTCAGCTGCAAAAGGCCGTATGCGGTTGCTTAGACCTCTGCAATTTTGCTAAGGCTTTAGTCGGTCTCATATCCTACTGAAATCTTATTGACTTGTAGCAAAGAAAAAACTCATTTTATTGCATACTCCAGGAAAGAAACCCGTTTAGGGCCTGAGATATGCGCCCGGCTGGATAAAAAAAAGAGTTTGTTAAAGTACGCTATATGGGCTATCTGAATCTCATTTTTCCATTCATGCAACAAATAAGTGTTACAATAACAAATATTCCCTTTTCCAAAAAAAATTCGTTGGATGTTAATCGTTATCCATATTTTGATCAACATCTCAATCAAGTTCACTTTATTCGTCTAATTTGATAATGAACATAATCATAATCTCTTATTTTAAAAATTGATCAGTTACTTAACCATTTATCTTTTTAGTCAAATGCAAGCGGAGCTGTCGAGTTTGCAGCGGAGGTAAATATCCTTTACTCACTTTTACATGTAAAATCCTATGGTTTTATGATTTTCATTAAGAAGTAAAGATCACCCTGCTTTAAAAAAATGTTCATTTAATCCCAATAGCCCATTTCTGAATTTTCAAAACTTGGCCTCATTTTCAAAACGAGTCCTGGTGCTCATCCTTTCATATGATAATAAGTTTTCATTCACATGAAAATTAAACTCATTTTCACGAGAATGGTTGAGCACCAGGCCTCGTTGTGAAAATGAGGCCAAGGGTAATTCGGAAATGGGCTATTCATAAATCAATCAATGTATTGATGTCAAACTGTGGGAGGGGAATGTCATTCTCTCTCTCTCTTCTTCAATGTCCAGCTCTCTTGCTCTTCGTTAGATATTTCTTAAGGTTTAAAAGCCCTAACTGATGACTACCATCTATTAATTTCTCCTTACAATAACACCGTTAAGTGAAGCGTTCAGGTCATATGAGAATAAAGGAGCTAACTAAAGAGATTCTTGAACGTTTGACAAATTCACCTTCTTAATACCACAAAAATAGTGTTCAGAAAAATTTGGAGAATATGCACGCCTCCTGATGTAATGTTGCTAATGGTTAAACTATCAAGGAAACGTAAAGGGATGTGAGCAGCTACGTACCTAGATCATATACTTATAATGAATTTATTATAAATTTATTACCTAACTATGATTTTGTATGTTTTTCCTTTCGGTTAAATACCTTCTTAAGTTCGTGTAAAATTTCTCATAGGTGCAAATAAAATTAAAAGATAAAAAAAAATAGACATCATTGTGTTATCCAGCATAATTCATAAACAGAATCATTCTTCCTTTTCTTCAGGTAGTGGAGGTGGTGGTGGCCACCGCCCTGGCTGGGGACGTCGATAAAACGTGGCACCAAGATTAGGTGATTACACAGTGTTTTTGTAATCACACTGACCTGTAGCCACTGAGGGGTTCTTCCCTCAGATCCCATCACATTCACATGCAAATGGTTAAATCTTCGATTCCCATCGGTTCCTCGCTTTTGAGCTGGTCGCAAAATACAACTATTTAGACGATCATGGGTGTCTAATCACAGCTTTAGTTTTTCTTTTTCTACTTATATCACTATTAAACTTCTGCTAAAATTGTTGAGCAAAAATTTGTGACTCTATTTATTTATATTTTTTTTTATTTTTAGATTTCTGGTTTTCCGATAATTATCATGCAAGCCGAAAAACGGAAAACGAAGAGAATAGGAGATACGTCATGGCTATTGTAGGCAGGGATAGAAATAAATATTGAAATTGAGCGTTCTGTCTTAAGTCTCTGGATGTTCACCATTTAAGCAATGGGCCTAATTTTCGTGAATATAAACGTATGTATAAAAATTAAAGGGGCATTGCAAATTTATTTTTATCTTTTGATAACGTTAACAATAACTATGTATGTTGTCGAAGTATCAACATACACGCCTAAACGTGCGTCTCATCGTGACATCAATCAATCAATCAATCAATCAATCAAAGTTTATTGTCTAACGTGAGGCATGGTTGCCCAATTGCCCGAGCCAGAGGCTCATGTATAAAACGGTAGACTATAAATTAACTATAATTAAAGGTATATTATTAGAAGTACTTAAAACTTTATAGGTAAAAATATATAAGTTTAGAGTACGAGTGATAATTGTAAAATTGTAGGTGATCTGTAATTGCTCACAAATTAACGAAAAACATTTTCAAAGAGCAAATCCTTGAAACCAAAACTTCTTAAAGGTACCACTCTCCTCAGTTATGAGTATTTTCCTTAACAATCGCTAACTTATAAGTTTTAGAATTCCTTGAAATTGCGAACCCATCTTAGCCCGCC